CTAAGAACAAATTTCTATGGTTGGGTAAGTTACAGGTTCTTAAAATATCAACATTGAAATCCGCTGTAATGTAGATCTGGTGAGTTTTAAAGTAAGTTTGCAACTTGGTTAAAAGTAACTCTAGTTTCTCCATGAAAGTTTTAAAATTATTTTCATAAGGTGTTCTGTAGATTGAAATTACAATAGCATTCAAAGAGGGTAATTCAATGCAGCAAACTTCAAAAACATGTTCCTCATTATAAATATAAAAATCTGTCCTTTCTTTAAAAACATAACCACGTTTCAGAAGAATACACGAGCCCCCCCCTTGCAGTTACGCCCCTACAAAAGTAGGCCCCAACAATGTAATTATTAAGACTTGATAAAAGATTAATTTGATTTTCTGCTAGACAATGTTCATTAAAACAAATTATGTCCACATTTGAATCTTGCAACAATATCTCAAGTTCATGGCATTTTTTAGTAAACCCTCCTTGTATGTTTAAATGCATCATCCAAACTACATTATTTTTATTGCTTACTTCACAAAAACCTGTACATCTTTCCCATTGTTCACTTTTCTTATATACATCATAATAGGAACACTTACAAATAAAACAATAATTATCATCCTTTAAGAGGCTTAAGCTTGAATTAACATTAGGTTGAACAGTTTTGTTTTGTGAAAAAGATGAATCATGTGTTAAATCTATAGAATCTATTTCATTAAAACTAATTATATTTCTATTATTTATTATATCACATCTAAGAGGTGCATTCTGACCCATAACATTGTTTATGAACTCAGGGCAGTCAGAATTATTTAATTTGTAAAAAAAATTCATCTTTTTCACATTGGATAGAGTACTAGCATTATTTATAAAAAACTATTATTACTATTTACAATAATTTCACTGGTTTCAATATTTACACTTTCACTGCTCTGCTTTTTAAAAACACTTTCTGGTATCTTGAGCACTTCACTAAAAAGAAGATGACCTGGAACCGTTGGTGGGCTGCTGATGCTGATGGTAGGGTTGTCGTGTGTCATCGGCTGTGGTTGAGGTGAACTCTCGACGTTAGGTGGTTGGTTAGGCATTCCACTGCAGGGTGATGAGCCTGACATCATCGAAACATCAACATCAGGTGGAGCATGTCTGTCAGGTGAAAGATGAGTAGCTGAAGAGAGTGGTGGTGCAGGTTGACCTTTTGGTAAAACTTGACAAATTTCTTTTTCCAAAGTTTTTTCCAGTTTTATTTTAAAGCGATTATGATCTAATCCATTTCTTAAAATTCGTCTCGTCTGCTCATCATAAATTACAATATTCACTGTTGCATTTGTCTGCCTTTGGAACTTAACAATGTTTTTTACAAAGGTTTCAACATGAATATTGTCCCTTACACATCCCATTGGTGAACAAACAAGGTGACAGAAATTCCTTTTCTTAAAATCTGTTGTAAGTTGCTGGAAAGCCTTATTGTAGTCGATAATTTTTGGTTTGCCATTATAATGTAACTTTGTAATCAAGCTGTAAACAGCTGCTCCTTTTTTATTTTTTTGGTATGCCAGATGACTAGAAGCACAATCCCAAACAGAAGGTTTACCAAATTTTTTCCCAAACTTAGCTGCCACACCTGCAGACATATGCCTCTCATGACCAAAGTCTCCGGATATAGTGTGGGCAAAAGCTACTTTTTCATCGTTACACCTATCTTCTATAACACTTGACATGTTCTGCTCAGAAACAATTATTGATTTGTCTGTGGTAATTGGTGTTTTTTTCAAGGCAGAGCTCAGATATTTACTTGCAAAGATACTGTGCATGATGTTAGAAATAAATCTTTTACCTTTTTTATTAATGTGGTAGTCGTGTTCATTATGATGTGATCTTTCCAATAGGTGCAAGTCCAAAAGGTAGGCATTAGAATTGTTATAAACCAAAGATCTTATTTTGTTGTTTATCTCCCATATAAGTTTGTGTTGTTCTTTGTCATTATTTAAGTCATAGCGATATGGTATGGTTGCAATCACCAAATTTATGTTTTTGAAATATGCTAATTGACTTTCAAGAGCATTGATTAACATATCAGATGTTTGATCAAGGTCTTTCATGGTATGATTTAATTTGATGTTGTTTGAGCCGCCTATCAAGAGGATCCAGTCATTCTCGGTATAAGATTTTAGGAGTGTGCTATCAGAGGCAGTTTTTACCACGTGTTCCAAAGGTGCTCCTGGTATTACGTGTCCAAACACATCAAATGAGTTATCGATGATACTGGCCATGGTAGTGGAAAGATCCCTTCCCTGACTATCAGCCAGAATAGTCACACGGTGCTGTTTTTTACCCCCCGTAGATCCAGTTTTAATGTTTAATTTGTTTCTTTGACTTTTTTTATGTATACTAAGACGTGGTTTACTATTGACTGAAGCTTCTGTAGATGAACAAGTGATATTAGATTCATTAGGGTGACTTTTTAAACATTCAAATTGATTCGTTGTTTTAATGTTTATTCCTAATGGATTTTTACTTTTTGCTTGTGCTGTGTTATTTCTACTGCCCTTTGAGGTAACTGTTGTCCAAATACTATTGTTTGCTATGGAGGGAGTTGTATTTCTTATATCAAGGGTTTTCCTCAAGATGTTATCCTTTTCATTGTGATTTTCACCTTCTGCCTTCTGATCCCTATCTTTAGGATACTTATAGTCCTTATTTAGCATTAGTGTTGTTATAAAACTGTTGCTCAAATCCCAGTGATTGCTCAACACATAGGCCAGATGTGACCTCTTACAAACTAAATCAGCTTCATCCAGTGCTACATGCTGTAGAAACTCAAAGTTGATGCTACCTTTAGTTATAATATCAAAGACGATTGCCTCAATCAGCCAGCATACACACACACCACAGTCGTATGAATTGGGCTGTTGAGGTCCCTTTAGTTCAATAAAATCAGCCCTCAAAGCGTTTCCTCCTAAATAGTCTGATATTTTACGAGCCACAGTTTTAGCTGGATTTAAGTTGTAGTTATTACTTGAATCAATATAAAGAAAATTGTTGATTTCTTTACTGTACACAAGAAGGCTCCAGTGAGTTCCGGCCGTGGTGTTTTCATTCGTGGTTATTTGGTCTGAATCATTTACTGCCATGATAAGGACATTTTTGTTTTTAATGTCAAAAGGATCTAATAAATAGCCAAATTCCAGGCAATTTTTGACTCCACTAACTATGAGAGGATTTAATGCCAGACAATTCTTGTTCTGAAGATATCTTTCATTTAGAATATTTAAATAAGGTAAAAGAGAGTCATCTGAGATCCAGTTTTTTCCAAGTAACTCCTCCTGTATTTTCAGTTTATTCTTTGATGAAACAACCTCAGAAGCAACTGAACATTTTTCATTAGATGTGCCTACATCACTCTTGCATGAATCTGAATGTAATGATATTGTCGATGTGGTGTTACATAGAGAAGTGCCTAAACTGGAATTACTGGAATTACCATCACAAACCGTTATATTGTTGAATATTACTTTCTTAAAAAAAATTGGACTGATAAATCCCTTTTCACCAGACGGTGTGATAAATATTCACAACATGCATCTTTGGAATAATGAAAATACAAAAGCTTCCAGAGAAGCTTCTTTTCAAAAATATTTGGGATCAATGTGTGGGCAGGTGTGATTGGAGATCGGTTAATTGGTCCTCATATCTTCAAAGGAAATCTGAACGGTGATTTTTACCTAGATTTTCCCCAGCACTCTCTACCCCAGTTGTTGGATGACATTCATACTCGACAAAGAGCTAAATCATATTTCAGCAGGATGGTGCTGCACCACATTTTACTGAAAGCGTTCGGTTGTGGCTATCCCCGACATGGGTTGGACGTGGAGGAAGTGTGAAATAGCCTCCTTGATCTCCAGACTTGAGCCCGTTAGATTTTTTTGTGTGGGGTTAAATGAAAAGTCTAGTTTACTCAACTGTTTTAAACTCTGAAGTTGAGTTACGGGAGAGAATCTTTGAGGCTGCTGGGAAAGTGGGGGAAAAACTGACGTATGAGGTCACAGTTGGCGCAATTCGCAAGCAAGCTAGAGCCTGCTTGGGGGAAAACGGAGGGCACTTTACACCCAAACTGTGATTCCACCTTAATTTGTGATTTCCTTGTTGTTCTTCGGATATCCTTTCAGATTGAAATTAAGTATTGCGTTTTTTACTAATGTGTTGTGATTTTTTAATAACAAATTTTCCAAAGTCTTAAAAAAACTCTTTAGTTTGATGGAGGTGTAGTCTGGTCAATCATAAATTGCACAAACCCTTGTCATCAGTGGTCTGCTCATAAAATAGTAAGTTAAATTCATTATTTTTTACAATATCAGTTTTGGCTAATCCGTGTTTTTTCACAATAGTGCGTAAAATTCACCATGGATTTGACAGTAGGTAAAGGTTGTTATACATCATTGTAAAGCCTTTTAAATAAGGAAGTTTTTAGTAATATTTGATAACCTCAGCGGAACTCGGTAACCGAGAAATAAAGCTCTGAATGTTATTAAAATTTGTGTCGATATTAAAAATAATTTCTTTAACGAAGAATTTAAATTGAAATTTTGCCATACCCAACGATTATGTGTTAATTCAATTTTGTGAGGATTTTAAAATTGAGATTGAAATTAACAATAAGTGCATTTTAACATAGTAATGTAACATTTTCCACAACAACTACAATCATTTCTGAAAAATCTTGATTCATTTGTTATTCTCTATCAGTTGAAGTTGGGAACCTCAAATGTGCATCATTCTGTCACCATAACCATGTAGTTTAATGCAACATTTTATTCAACACTTTTGGCCAGACACATAGAAGATTTGTTTAAGAAGTCATAAGAACACTTAAAATAATTCTTGATCATTGGCTAGTTGATCGTCAAGCATAGATACATTTCTGATAGTCAAGATCCAAGTACATAATCTAAATTATAATATCCATTAATGTACAAAAAAACTAAATTCTAAGTTTAACAGAGTACTTACAACATATTATAAACATTTATTCTCAACCCTTCTCTGGCTTCGTTGGACATATGTCCTATGAGAGTTGTACATACTCAACACTCCTTTAATGGTAACAAAAGTAAGGCCTCCCTGGAAAAAAATATACAATATTAGAAAAGAACCAAGATGAATCCAAACAATTGTTAGATCACCAAGTTGGTTTTTTTTTTTTAAATCCGTTCTTGGTTTTTGGATTGCCTTCTTAAATCACTTATTTAAATAACATTTTTCTCTCTACTCATGCAAAGGACGTAGACACAAGTTTAAAATTGTAACCTACTTCATGTGAAGGCTATTATATAATAGCCAAATAATATTTTGAAGCAAGATTAGGTTAGTCAACATACCCTAACCGTAATATGATATGGTATATATTGTGTCGAACATGTTGTACGGAATAGAGTTCTGGGGCTCAAATGCCAAAAACCATAACCAAAATTTAAAAAAAGTTGTTCTAAGAATTATGACATTTTCAAATCCAAGACAATCTTGTAAATAATTATTCAAAGAGTTAAAAATACTGACAACCCATCAATTTATTTATATTCTGCAAATTTTATGGAACTTTATTTGAATGAAAACACTGTAGTCATAATTATTTAAATACCCCCGCCGCAGCAAACCTGCCGACTAAGCGAATTTCCATTTGCCTGAATTGATTTTCAATTGAATGTATTTAATTAACATTAGGTATTATGAGTACCTAGGCTTGGTGCTACAGGGAGGGTAAAAAAGTGTTTTTTTTAGTAAAATATGAATAACTTTGTATAAAATGAATAAATTTACCAAGTTAGATCAAAATATATCTATTAACAAGCAAACTACAACATTTTACAATATTCTCCATAAGAATAACATGGGAATTTAAAAATAACATTTTTTAGAATTTTCTCCGTAACCAATAATTGTACAAAAACACTTTGATATACTAAATTATTTCTTTTTTTAAGCTCTTTAAAAAGGTCCAGAGAGAAATTGGGAAATTTTGTGTTTAGATGGTAAAAAATTAGAAAAACCAATTTTTACCCCATAAAACCCTGTTCCCATGGTCCGATCATGCTGGTTTGCGAACTCATTCAAGTTTATCCCGCCTTACACCTTCAAACCAAATTTCATCAAAATCTGACAAAAATTACTCAAGTTATCGTGTTCACGGACACATATATATATAAATCTATATATATATATATAAATTTGAACAAATGGTGTTTTTGGCCTCTGGGGACATCAAAATGAAAAAGTAAATCGGTCCCGGGCCTAGGTCTTACCATGCCACCTACGGTAACAGCTACTTCCCTATAGGGAAATTCGCTAAAAGACATCAAAACGACTTAGGTCCCTAAAGTGTTCAGCCTTCAGCGATTCAGCCTCAATTGACTTGCCTTCATCGAAACTGATGTGTACATTCCAAAGATACTGGCTATAAGTTGTTCATAAACATCTGTTCTTATTTTATTATTGCTAACTCGCCTCCAGGTTGAAGTTCGTTCGCTACGCTCACTCACCTTTTGGTTGCAAATTAGCTGTTGTCATAAATTTAAAAGAATAATAGTGCTGCACCCTGTTGGTAATCTTTGTAACTTTAATGCTATGGAACATCATAGAACAGAAACAACTTGTTTAATTGAAACAGCTGTTAAGATTCATTAATTCCTTTTAAATATGAAAAATCATAAGGTTAACTTGGGAAACTCCAGAGCCACTGGGGCGGAGCCCGAAAGCCCGTTTAGAATAAAAACTACTTAGTTTTCCTATTTAATGCCCAAAGAATCGGTGTACCGAATTTCAGCGTCCTAGGTAAATGGGAAGTGGGAGAATTAGTGATGAGCGAGTGAGTCAGTCAGTGATGGCTTTGCCTTTTATATATTTAGATTCAGTTACATAATAGAATTGTGATTAAATAAAGTAAAATTCAGTTACTACGTTTAAATGTTACATTATGAAAATATCTAACAAATGGCGACGAGAATAATGGAAGAAATAGAAAACATAGCAGAAGATGTTAATAAAGTCAAGAAATTGAAATCACTGCGAAGAACAGTCAAATTCCAGCTTGGAAATGTAAAGAAGATGTGGATATAGGAACATTTTCCATCAATGACATCAAAACTAGACTTGACTTGTTAGCTGAGATTAAATCAAAGTATGACCTAATTCAAGACAAGATTGACTTCTATACAGAAGAAGAAGATTTTGAACAAGAGTTAACTTACAGAGAAAGTATTGAAAACATGATAGAAAAACAAGATTACAGTGGTAGCAAAACGGGAGTGCCGATGGAGACCAGGTCAAGTCCCTTTAAATGCACGCACCCCCACAGGTCTCCATCGGCACTCCCGTTCTGCTACCAGTGCTACCACTGTAATGGATGCACAAATGATTCATACGCCTAGTATACAGCATAACTCTATTACTAATCAAAGTCATTGTTTCAATGCAAATCTACATACTAATACACCGATTCCAGTCCTTCCTACTTCAAATTTGAGCTTTACTCCTTATGATGAAAGAGAAAACTTTTCTAATTTTGCCAGAAGACTGGAGGTCTTTATGACTTTGAAAGGTATCAATGATTCTAAATTGAAGACATTTACACTTTTACATGCCTTGACACCTCTTCTACATCAAAACCTATACGACCTATGTACACCAGACAATCCTATGAATAAAGAGTATGAAGAGCTCGTAACCTTACTTGACAACTTCCTAGATCCGAAGAAAAGTATTTTGGCTTTACAACACACATTTTTAAGTCGAATACAAGAAGATGGAGAATCAATTTCAAATTTTGCTACAGAACTAAAAAAGCTATCAACAAACTGCAAATTTAATTGCGAAACTTGTGGAAAGTCTGTATTGGACATCCTATTACGACTACAACTCATACGTGGACTTAATGACAGGGACATAAAAACTCAGCTGCTACAAAAATGTGACCACAAACAATTCGTAGAAATCCTTCCTTAATACAGCTACTACAATGGAGCTTTCAAAACAGGAAAGTACTATGATATGTCATAACAGTGGAAACTTAGACATAAATCAAGTAAAGTCTAACCGACAGATTCACGGACCCAGAACAAAATTAAACATCACAGGATCTTATACAAATGGTAAATTTCAAGTAACAGATTTTGAGTCACTGAAAGGGAAATGCTACCGATGTGGGAATGTAAACCATAGAGCGAATGTTTGTCCAATGATTGATGAAACCTGTAACACCTGCGGAAAGATCGGACATATTTCAAGAGTATGCCTAAGTAAATCTAAAATCAGTAAAAGACAAGTTCATTACACTGAAAATAATGACATTTCTGAAGACAATATCTATGAAATTAATCTACTGTCTGACAAAAAGAAGGATGACAAGTTTCACATTGATATAAAAGTGGAAGGTAAAATTGTATCTTTTGAGTTGGATACTGGAGCATCACTTACATCAGTTTCTTATGAAGATTACAAAAGATTATTTCCCTCCAAAAGACTTTACAAGACTGGTATAGAGCTACGCACCTACACAGGGGAAATAATAAAACCTAAGGGAGTAACGTATGTACAATGCGATTATAAGGGACAGTGTTTCATGGGGAAAATGTTTGTCATTAATCAAAACGTCGAGAAGATTTTTGGACGAGAATGGATGAGAGAAATAAAACTAGACTGGGGAGAAATAAAATCTATAAACATGAAGGAAACAAGGAAACCTGAGCTGGATTCATTACTTGCGAATTATGAAGAATTGTTTGACAAAAACATAGGATGTATTCCAAACTTTAAAGCAAAATTAAACTTGAAGGACAACTCAAGCCCTATATACATAAAAGCCAGACAGGTTCCATATGCAATCAAAACAAAAGTTGAAAATGAACTCAGCCGTCTGGAAACACAAAAGATTATCACCAAGGTGGATAACTCAGAATGGGGAACACCAATTGTGCCTGTAATAAAACCCAATGGTGACATTCGTATCTGCGCTGATTTCAAGGTTTCTCTGAACAAAGTGGTGGAAGATGAGAAGTACCCGATTCCGAGGATTGAAGACATTTTTTCTACAATGAGTGGAGGTAAATACTTTTGTTCTCTTGATATAAGCAATGCTTATTTACATATGCAAATGGACGAAGACAGTAGCAAAATGCAAACTCTAAGTACTCATAAGAGGTTGTTCAAAGTAAAAAAACTGATGTTTGGAGTCAAGGTTGCTCCTTCCCTGTGGCAAAAATTCATGGATTCTTTACTACAAGGTATGGATGGAGTGCAATGTTTTTTTGACGATATTTTAGTACAGGGATCAACTTACGAGGAAACTCTTCAGAGATTAGAGAAAGTCAAAGTCCTCAATGTTCTACAGAAGCACAACCTACATTTAAATAGAGACAAATGTAAGTTTTTTTGAAAAAAGTATCAAATACCTCGGGCACATTATTGATGAAAAAGGCCTACACAAAAGTCCTGAGAAAACTGTAGCAATTCTAAATGCTAGAAGGTCTACAAATGTAAGTGAATTAAAAACGTTTTTAGGCTTGGCCACTTACTACAGCAAGTTCATACAAAATTACTCAACAAAAATATATCCTTTGACAAGGTTACTCACAAAAAATTTTAACTTCAACTGGAGCTCTGATTGTGAAAATAGTTTTCAAAAAGTCAAAGAGGAAACAAGTGAACAAATTTTCACTCATTTTGACCCCAATCTGACGGTTACCCTCGCAACGGATGCATCACCTGTTGGACTCGGAGCAGTACTTTCTCACAGACTAGAAAATGGTACAGAAAAACCGATTGCATTTGCTTCACGCACTCTAACAAAAAGTGAAGTAAAGTACAGCCAGATTGATAAAGAAGCAGCAGCTATTTATTTTGGTCTGAAGAAATTCTTCCCATACATTTATGGACGCAGGTTTATATTAATAACTGATCATAAGCCTCTTGTGTCCATATTCGATCCTCAACAGACACTACCTACTATGGCAGCGACTAGAATCTTCAACTACGCCCATTTCCTTTCAGGGTTTGACTATAAAGTTGAATTTAGAGGAACAGAAAAACACGGAAACGCAGATTTTTTGTCAAGATTTCCAGATGAAAAG